CCATACCCTGACTTAGATCAGCCCAGAGGTTGTTTCAGGGTTCAATCTGTGAGTTAGCCATACCCTGACTTAGATCAGCCCAGAGGTTGTTTCAGAGTTCTATCTGTGAGTTAGCCATGCCCTGACTTAGATCAGCACAGAGATTGTTTCAGGATTGGATCTGTGAGTTAGCCATGCCCTGACTTAGATCAGCCCAGAGGTTGTTTGATCTGTGAGTTATTTTCTGGCTTAGATAAGCATTAACCCCTAGTTACAAACCCCAAACACTTTACCATGTCAATCACCTGTACAGTAGTGTCAGAAAATCCCATAGCAACAACAGTCTCGTCAGGAGAAAAGGCCAATGACAAGCAGTTTGATGAAGCATTGAAATTTTTGGTTTCCTGTCCAGTGCTGCAATCTAAGACCTGAAAAAATGAAAAAATGTATAAATGAATGAATGAATGAATGGATGGGAAGGATATGAGATAAATAGACAGATGGACAGACAGATGATTGGATGGGATCGAATGAATGGATAGATAAAACATTACAAAAATCAGAAGCTATTTGGAATTGCATTCTGACATGATTCTTATATTAAAAAAGCTTACTTTAACACAGTTGTTTGAAACAGCTACAACACTTTTGTCCTCACTCATGAAGGAACAGAACGACACAGAATTGACATGGTTTTCAAGTGAAATAAGAAGTGCACCATTCTTGGAGTTAAAAACCTAAAAATATTCGATAATAGCAAATTGGTGACACTATTAATATTAGGCTGCATTTTTGTGCTTTCAAAGTTACATAATTAATAACAATAATAATAATAATAATAATAATACAGCTTCTCATTAATCCCATATAGGTAACTGTCCAATTATTTTCTTAATTGGACAGGTCTTGTTGATGTGGGATTAATTAGCTAGGCACCTATATAATTAATAGGTAATGAGACTCGAAAAATTCCTCTGACTGCCAAATTGAACTCGGCCTACGGCCTCATCCAATTTTGGAAGTCCTCGGAATTTTCCTCGTCCAATCATTTCTTAATTGGACAGCATGGAGTCCTATTACATATACTAATCGATAATAATAATAATAAGTAGTAAAAATAGTGATTAATAAGATTATCGTAATGATAATATAATTATTAATACAATAGCTAATCTTTAATAATAAGAATATGTAATAGGACTCCATGCTGTCCAATTAAGAAATAATTGGACGAGGAAAATTCCGAGGACTGACAAAATTGGATGAGGCCATAGGCCGAGTCCAATTTGGCAGTCAGAGGAATTTTTCGAGTCTAATTATTTCTTGATTGGGGAGCATAAAATCCCATTACCTATTAATTATATAGCCGCCTAATTAATCCCATATCAACAAGACCTGTCCAATTAAGAAAATAATTGGACAGTTACCTATATGGGATTAATGACAAGCTGTATAATTATTAATATAATAGCTAATCTTTAATAATCGATGATTAATGATTAATTATAAACACTAATATTAATGATTGATAATCCATATTATACATCTCTAGTTATTATATAGTCTTTCAAGCTCTCTATTTTTATTGATATTTACTGGTTTGTTTTATATAGAAGGGTTTCGGCAGTGTCTTATCAAATAAGCGATTTTTACCTTAACACTGGTATCATCGGAGCAGGAAGCAACTTTACTTCCATCAGAAGAGTAGCAACACCATCTGACTATGTCCGTGTGTCCAGTGAATGTCAGTCTCTCAGTGCCACTTTTACTGTCCCATATCTATATGAATCAGATAAGTGAGTGTCATGTAAGCTTAACACTGTCAAATGCACTATCATCATCATCATCACCATCATCACCACCATCACCATCACCACCATCATCATCATAATCATCATCACCATCATCGCCATCATCACCATCACCAAGGACATCACTATCATCATCATCAGCATCATCATGTAACATCATCATCAGTCATACCACCATCATCTTCAGTCATCCTCCACCACTGAGTCATTTCCATTACTGATGAACACCACCAACATCCTTTCGCTTCATCATCATCATCATGTATCATCATCATCAGCCATACCACCATCATCTTCAGTCATTGTCATTACCATTACTGATGAACACCACCAAAMCCCTTTCACTTCATTCTTACCTTGACAGTTTTGTCAGCTGAACAAGAAACGACATTTCCATCACRAGGAGAGAAAGCACAGCAGAACACATCTTGCCGATGACCAGTGAAACAAAGCAATTCTTCTCCATTCAAACTGTCCCAAATCTGTAAAAAACAATGATGACAATGCTTATGAAATAGAGCTTTAAAGATCCAACATCTTCTCAATAAAAAAAATTCAAGAAACATTCAACCAGGACTGCTTTTTTTTTCATTTTGGCAAAGGAAGTAATTTCATTCAACTGAAGACAGACTAACAACTGTATTCAAGATATTTATATATCATGAAAAAAGTAAAAAAAAGGTACAAAGTCAAAGCTAAAATGTTAGTATATGTAATAGGACTCCATGYTGTCCAATCAAGAAATAATTGGGCGAGGAAAATTCCGAGGACTTCCAAAATTGGATGAGGTCCTAGGCCGAGTCCAATTTGGCAATCTAATTTTTCAAGTCTAATTATTTCTTGATTGGGGAGCATGAAATCCCATTACCTATTAATTATATAGATGCCTAATTAATCCTATATCAACAAGACCTGTCCAATTAAGAAAATAATTGGACAGTTACCTATATGGGATGAGAAATACTTTTATAATGTGRGAGTCATTGCCCTTTGTCCAAGCCAGGGGCTCATGTATAGAGCAATAGACGACATGCACTAACAGGTCACGTGACCCCATCACATGTTTTTAATTCAAGGAGTTTTTAAGGATTTCAAGGAGTAGCACAAACCCTGTCTTTTGAAGGTGCACAAGGTATGAAAAGATGCAGTAACTAAAAGGAATCACACTGTGAGTGAGTGTTTTCTTACCCGTACAGTTTGATCGGCTGAACAAGTGATGATACGTGTATTATCGTGAGAGAAACTACAGCAGTTAACGACATCACGATGGTTATTCATGGACAGTAACTCTCTTCCTGACTGACTCTCCCAAACCTGGAAGGTAATAATGGTGATGGATAACAAGCTACAACAATGACAAAAGCCCCCACTGCAGAGCAACAACAGTAGCAGTGGCAACAACAGCAGAAACAACAGCAGCAGCAACAACCATAACAGTAGCAGTGTCAACAACAGCAACAGCAAAAACAGCAAGAACAGCAACAAAACAACAACAACAACAACAATAGCAGCAGCAACAACAGCAACAGCAGCAGCAGCAACAGCAACAGCAATAACAAAAAGAAAATTAAGACAGAAATTTCCATTTTTCCTCTTCTTCCTCTTCTCCATTTTCCATTTTTCCTCACCTTGACTTTATTATCTGTGCCACAGGACACAACCTTCTGCGCATCTTTAGAGAACTGGCACTTATAGACAGCACCGCTGTGAACCTTGGCAGTTATCATTAAACTGGAATCCAAAGGATCTTCCTGCTTGTTACTGGTGAAAGAAAAAACAAAAGAATATCATTAGCTAGAGAATATAGGGTGGTAATAATTTGTGAGTTAGCCGTGCCCTGACTTATATCAGTCCAGAGGTTGTTTCATGGTTCTATCTGTGAGTTAGCTGTGCCTTGACTTAGATCACCCCAGAGGTTGTTTCAGGGTTCAATCTGTGAGT